TATATATATATATATATATATATTATATAATGTATAAACATCAGTTACTGACTCTAAAACAAGGAGTTGATCTCAGAGGAAGCCGAGTGCGAGGCGAGGAAAAAAGAGGAGCAAAAAAGCACGTTTCCCTGCGTTTTCTCCGTTATCACTTCAGTTGCATCTCTTGTTTATCAATCTGCCTCCCTACTAGATGTTATTTTTTAGATATACTCCCTGACCAATTGGAGCAGCATCAATCCTCCAATATCAATATTTGTACCTCTTTAATTTCAAACATTACCAAATGCAATTTGCTACAGCTGCACTTCCTAAGTGATATAAATCAGTACCACATGTGAAATGCACGCTCAGCTTTCAACTTCATCGAGGCAGATACGAGCTGTTCAACTTAGACCATGCAACTTTGCAAACGTGTTTTTTTTTCATTCCTACCGGATTTTTTCCCTCTCCTTCAGATGAGGTTTATCCTTGCCGAGTTTTAGTGTTTCCCCTCATCCTCCCAGCTGATAGCACCGGTTGAAGTCACCGTCGGCCAGCCAGCACACCGCCACCGCTACCAGACCACGGGGGGTGAGGCGGGCGGGCGGCCGGTCCGGGCTGCCTCGCTCAGCACTCATCGTTAATAGAGTGAACTTTCCGCGGCCGAGTGAATAGCGAGAGTGCGTGAGGGAGAAAAAAGTTCCGCCATCCCCCCCACAAAGGGACCACACACGCTATCGGGATTTTCTTGAAGTCCTAATCACGGATTCGCACTCATGGGCCCAAGAAGCACAGAAGCACAACCATGGCTCCCGACACCCCCCTCTTTCCCGTCGCCTGGTTGATCACTCAATTGCACACTTCTGTTTTTTTCCCTCCCTCGCCCAGTCTGATCTCCCGAGAAATCTAACAAGACAACCTTCGCTTCTCCGAGAGGGAAAAGCAGGCGAATTTGACAGGCGTGACTGATGGCAATGTCATGAACACGACTGGCACGGCATCAGTTCTGCCCTGACGTGTCTACAGACTTTGTCTCGGACCCCGAGAGGTACACTCCCCTTGCACAAAATACTTCGTCACTATTAGGGAGGCGAGTGCGGCGGCCCGGAACTTCGGCTCAAGAATTTTGGAAGACGAGGGACTTGATCTGAAACGCGTCGTGAGCGTGGCGCTTGCGGCAAATCTACTTCCATGTCAGGGAGGAACGACACAATTAAACTCTTCGGACAACACACGCTACAGACAAATAAATGCAGCTTAAGATAGAGAGAATAACAAGTCTTGAATCAAGATAACTTCGCCAAGATAGACATCAACAAGTTCGCAAAATCGCGTTGAGCACGCCGTCGAGCGAGAGGCGTCATGATATACAGTGACCCTCGGAGGCCTAGTGTCGCGCAGACACGCGTGGCGGCGCCGTGGCAGGTGAGCCCGGGCGGCGACAGCTCTGGCACTTACCCTCTCCTCCTCGCGGATCATCTCGGCGATGCCGGGTCGTATCTCGAAGTCGTCGGGGGTGTGGTGGCGGTGGATGTGGTGCATGTTGAGGAGCGGCGAGAGGGGGGGCAGATGCGGCAGGTGGTGCGGCATGGGCGCTGGGGGCGGCATAGGTCCTGGCAGGTGAGCAGCCAGCGAAGGGAGTCCGACCGGTGACCCTGGTAGGGGAGCGCTGCCCCCTCGGTTTCCCAAAGGCGGAGGAAGGTCCAACACGGCGTCCATCAGCTCGGGGGCGCTGGTGGGCGTCGCGGGCGTGCATGGTCTGCTGACGTCGTCGCCAGAGAGGCGGCGTCGCTTGCGGGCGATGGCAGCGAGGGTGGGCGAGATCGAGCTGTCGTCGAGACTAGTGTGCAGGGGGCGGGCGGCAGGCGACGCTGCTGGGGAAGTGAGCACTGCGGACTCGCCTCCGTCTCCGTCCACCTCCGCCAGGCCACGAATCTTTAGGGACTCTGCCACACGCAGAAGGGAGCCCAGCTGCTCTTGACAGATGTTGATTTCGCCCTTGTACATGAACTCCACCACGGCCTTGAGCTCCGGCCACTTGACCCCCTGCAGGATGATGACGGGGTGGCTGCAGGGCGCATCGCTCAGGAGGCCCTGGAAGTACGGGGAGCACGCTGACAGCACCATGCGGTGTGCCTTCACACTGTTACCTTCACATGATAGAGTCACGTCCACAAAACTTTCTGACTGAAGTAACTGATCAAACACCTGGGTCAAATTGCTTTGGTAATTGTTCCATCTCAAACAAAACTGTTGATTCGCCATGGCAAAGGAGTCTACGGGCAAGGTCAGGTCAGGTGAGGTCGCACACGGGCCAGCCGGGGCCAGGTGTTGTCGCCAGGCCCGGGCACTGTAGCTGTGAGGGTCAGATGCACCTCCTAGCACTTACGACAGTCTATTTTAGCGGTGGTTATCAGAAGAGTCACTGGCAGGGTGCCTGATTGCAAAGGCGCACATGCACGGGTGCCAACACTCACACAAGCACACCGTCCGGGAAGTGGCATACACTCCCTCTCGCTCG